ACTTTGTGTTAATTCAAACAATTTGATTAACTCAATTAAAAAAGGAAAATAAAATGTTATACAATATTTTCTTATAATAAAATCATAAATTTTGAGGCAAAAGGTACCCGTTTGCCCCTTAACTTTTCGAATTTGAGGGTTTTTACCCTTCATATTACAATATATGGATTTTTGCCCTTCATATTTTCGAGTTTGAAGAAATGAGGCAAAATTTAACATCCGAACATCACGTGTAGCACGTGCACCGTTGGCCTCCATCAAGTATGCACATGTCAGCGCCACCTCAGACTTTTTTGACAACTTGGCATGCCAACTTGGACCCCCATGAGCGGGAAGTCTACTGCTATCAATTTTATTTATGGCCCTACCGCTGACTAAAGGTTTGAAAAAAAAAAAAAAAAAGACAGATGAATGCAAAGAAATCTATTTAAATGATACCGCTTAGTTCTTTTCCCTTTCTTCTCCCTGCTCCTGACCTCCCTTATCGGCGATCCTCTGTTTTGATCGGAAGCCCTCGGGCTTCCGCGTTTTGATGCTTGAGCCGTCGGGCCCCCTCCGTAATTCCTAAGATGATGCGGCTGGTCCACTGTTCGATGATTTGCCCGTCGTGACGCAATCTGCAGCTTCTGATGACGCGTCGTCAATTAATCGGAAGCTGAATGATTTCAGCGCCGGCGCGTACCTGAACTTCAATCTCAAGTCTTTCTCGAGGAAGCAGCTGAATGATCTCAAGGGACAGTTGGTATCGGAGCTGGAGCAAATTCGTGAACTGAGGAATCGAATTGAATCCAATGATTTTCAGGCCAGATCCAACTCCAACAACAAATCCATCACGAAGAAAGTCTCCGGCAGCAAGAGACCTTAGCCGTTGAATTTCAGCAAGGAGACAAAGCGGCACAATCCTCAAGATAACTGCAAGAGATCCGATAATTTGATGAAAACTTGCGGTCAAATTTTGGGCAAATTGATGAAGCACAAACATGGGTACATCTTCAATACGCCTGTGGATACAGTTGGCCTAGGCCTTCACGATTACTATGACATAATCAAGAATCCTATGGATATGGGCACCGTTAAATCGAGGATAACCAAGAATTTTACAGGTCATCGTTGGAATTTGCAGATGATGTGAGGCTGACGTTCAATAATGCCATGTTGTATAACCCTAAAGGGCACGAAGTGTACATATTGGCGAGATGACAGCTCCGACGACATGTCCTTGGGATTTCGCACTTCTCGCTTCGAAATTTCTTCAAACAGCTGGTGATCATTAGTAAAACCATAACCGAAACTCAATTCTTCCGATATTAAATCCTCCAACTTGATTTCTTGTTCTTTCCGAATTGAATTAAAGTGCTGAGTTTGGCAAAAAACTCACCGCAGATCCTGACGAAGATACATCTCTATGGCCTAAATCACTTTAAACTTTAATCAAAATAGAGGGAAAGAAATCAAGTCTGGAAGGAATTGAAATGAGTAGAGGAAGGAATTAAAATGAGTAGAAGCAAATCAAACAGAAGGAAAGTTCAATCGAGGGTGAGATTGTGAGATTGAAACCCTAGATCCCCAATTTATTGTTCTGGTAAGGGTTCTTTAGTAAAAGCATTGGACTCATCTGTCTTTTTTTTTTTAAAAAAACCTTTAGTCAGCGGTAGGGCCACAAATAAAATTGGTAGTAGTAGACTTCCCGCTCATGGGGTCCAAGTTGGCATGCCAAGTTGTCAAAAAAGTATGAGGTGACGCTGACATGTGCATACTTGACAGAGGCCAAAGGTGCATGTGCTACACGTGATGCTCCGACGTTAAATTTTGCCTCATTTCCTCAAACTCGAAAATATTAAGGGCAAAACTCCATATAGTGTAATATGAAGGGTAAAAACCCTCAAATTCGAAAAGTTAAGGGGCAAACGGGTACCTTTTGCCTAAATTTTGATAAGAATACTTATAAGTTATAATGAACTCTTTCTACTTAGAAAACCCTTACAATTTGTTTAATGCCATAAACATTCAATTGTTTTCATATTATTATT